CATGGTGTAGGAGCAGGTCATGGTGTAGGAGCAGCCCATGGTGTAGGAGCAGCACATGGTGTAGGAGCAGCACATGGTGTAGGAGCAGGCTGATGGTGTAGGAGCAGACCCAATCATGTAGGAGAATTCCCACGGTGTTGGGGATGGCAAATCAAGTCAAGATGGCACCTGGCAGTTTGCCAGGAGGAGTGGTTTGTGAAACAACACCACAGAGCCATTTAGATGGTGGGGATTCCTATTTGGCTGCTTGCTGTATCTAGATGATGCTAATTGAGTCAAGCTGTGTGTAATCAGTTAGGTATATATACACCTCTGGTGTCCTGCAATAAAGCAGCTCCTGCTATCTTGGGTGCCCGCTACCTTAAGTTCCCGCTCAGTTCCCGCTGAGTTTCCCCACAATAAAGCAGTTCCCACTTCAACCTTCAAGTTGCTTGTCACCTCCTGGTTATTTTGCCCAGCTAGACTGCGGCATATGGTGGCCCGTACGGGGAGCTCCAGGACGCTTGGGAGTAAGTGACAAGGTAAGGCTGCTTGCCCCTGAGGATAGGGCGAGAGGATGGGTGACCATTTCAAGAAACAGTGTGTTCTTGTTTCATTTTTTTTTTTCATTTCATTTTTAAGCTGCCTGTCCCTAGAAATAAATAGGATGGGAGAAAAGCTGATCGGCCCTGAGGAACAGATAGGGCCAGAGAACGGATGCACATTTCAAGAAAATACAAAAATTGATACAGTGTGCTTTTGTTCCGTTTTGTTTCGGTTTTATTTTGTGTTATCTTAGTGGATTGTTTTATCTTTGTTATGGAAAAATGGGATCAGAAGTTAGTAAAAACCAAACCGAAAGGGTGTTAAGTAAATTGCTAGAGGAAGGAGGCCCCCAGTAAAACCAAGAATAATTAGGGCATACGTTGATACGATACAAAAATGTAGCCCATGGTTCTTTAAGGAGGAGTTGTTAATATCACAATGGGACCATCATGGTGAAGATTTAAAAAAGATAGAAAAGGGAAGCCCAGGAACTCTGCCAGTTGGCACATTACCATTATGGACGTTGGTACGATCCTGTTTGCTTAGTCAAGGAGAAGACATCTTTGATCAAGTAAAAGAGGAAGTCTCTCGAGCTAGTGAGACAGGAGAAGAAAGTTTAGAGGAGGAAGGGCTATCAGGGGAGGAGTTACAACGGGAGGCTGCTACTAACACCTTTCTAACACCAGAGGGTGTAAGTATTCAACCAACAGCTACACCTATAGAGACAACATATGCTGGGTGGCCCCCAACCCCCATAGTTGATAGATGGGATCCTGAGACAGGACCTTGAAGATTAGCATGCCCTGTACTTGAGGATGAGAGAGGGCAGCGATATCACCAGGCTTTGGATTTTAAAACTGTAAAGCAGTTAAAAGAAGCTGTAGCAGCCTATGGTCCTCAAGCCTCTTTTACCGTAAGCATGGTTGAGTCCATTGCAAATTATAACTTGACACCAGCAGATTGGGCTAGCATATGCAAGGCTGTGCTAAATGGAGGACAATATCTGTTATAGAAAGTTGCTAATCAAGAATTGTGTATGGAGACTGCCAAGGGAAATGCAGCAGCTGGGTATCCACAGAGAAATCTAGATATGTTGCTAGGAGAAGGACCTTATGAGGATCAGCAGCAACAAACTAGATTTGATCCTGCCATATACTCACAAATCGCTTCAGCTGCAGTTAAGGCATGGAAGACTTTACAAGGACAAGGAGATTTACAAGGTCAATTATCTAAAGTAATACAAGGAGCCAATGAACCTTACGCTGAGATTGTAGATAGGCTTATACAAACAGCAAGCAGAGTCTTTGGGAATGTAGAACAAGCGATGCCATTAATAAAGCAACTAGCCTACGAACAAGCCAATAGATGGTGTAGGGAGGCTATTAGACCTTGTAAATATAAAGACTTAAATGCATACATTAACTGTGTAGAGATATTGGTGAACCAGTGATGCAGGGGCAAGTCTTGGCAGCTGCAGTAACCGGAGAGTACAACAGGCTTTAGGTGCCAGGCCAAAAACATGTTATAATTGTGGTCAAGCAGGACATTTTAGAAGGAATTGCCCTATAGGAGGAGAGTTTAAAACAAGTTACAAAACTGGGTATGATCAAAAAAGAAAAATACCAGGTGTTTGCCCACAATGTCATAGAGGAAAACATTGGGCTTATGAATGCCGTTCTCAGACTACTGTAGAGGGTACTCCGTTGCCAAAAAACGGATGAGGGGGCCGATGCCCCAGGGCCCACAACCACAAATATACGGGGCATTGAAGGAACCCAGCAACACCATCAGGGTAGTGCCCAGGACACATTATCTGTTAACTCCTTTATCAGACAAACCAGAGGAAGCGCAGGATTGGACATCTGCGCCTCTGCCAGAGCAGTACTAACTCCAGAGATGGGAGTTCAAATCATTCCCACAGGGGTAAAAGGACCTCTTTCCCAAGGAACAGTAGGCTTATTATTAGGACGCAGTTCTTCTACTCTAAAAGGACTTATGATAAATCCTGGGGTAATTGATTCCAATTATGAAGGTGAGATAAAAATTATAGCTAGTTCTCCAAGGGGTATCTCAGTAATTTCACCAGGAGATAGGATTGCACAGTTATTAATACTCCCTAGCTCACATGACAAACTTGCTAGTCATAATGTAGAAAGAGGTTCCAAAGGATTTGGCTCCACAGGTATAGATTGGGCTATGCTTTCTTTAAATTTAGATTCTCGCCCTACCTTAAACTTAACTATTCAAGGAAAAAATTTCAATGGACTACTAGACACAGGTGCAGATCTTAGCATCATCTCTCGTCAAGAATGGCCAAAAGATTGGCCTTTACAACAAGCCACTCAAACGCTTCAAGGCCTAGGAGTGGCAACTAATCCCCATAGAAGTGTGATGATATTAAAATGCAAGGATCCTGAAGAATGTGATGATTGGCTCACAGCGGCCCCAGCAAACTTCCAGCTGCCAGCTGATGATTGGCTCACAGCAGCCCCAGCAAACTTCCAGCTGCCAGCTGATTGGCTCCTCTGCAGTGATGCTCATTGGGCTGTTTCCCCACCCTTTCAGACCATGGAGCTGCTCATTGGGGGACTCTTTTGGCTCCACCCACGCAACCCAGCCAATAGGCCTCAAGAGCAGGAGGAGTGTGTGGTGGGGGTTGAGAGGCTGTGGAAGTCGGTGGTGGTAGTTGGGCTCCCAGGGAATTCCTGAAGAGGTCATGTGGTGTTGCCTGTGTGTTCTAAAAATAAAGTTCGTTTCTGCTTCACAAGTGCCTCCTGAATTGTGCCCAGCCAGACTGCAGCAGACAGTGAGGAGCTGAAGCTCTACGCCTCAGTTCTTCTGTCCCAAGCAAAGAATTTAAAGTCAGACACAAAAAGTCAAGTAAGAGGGGGCTGGGGTTGTGGCTCAGTGGCAGAGCACTTGCCTAGTATGTGTGAGGCACTGGGTTCGATTCTCAGCACCACATAAATAAATGAAATAAAGGTCCATTGACAACTAAAAAATATTAAAGAAAAAAAAAGGTCAAGCAAGAGTATTTGAGTTAAAGTCAGGCTCAAGCAGAGAAAACACAGGCCATCTCTGAGCTGCTTCCAAATGCGTTACTTGATGTTTGATAAACTGGGGGCCACCTTCTGCAGTCTTCACCATTTGTTCGACTCCTTCTTCACTTCAGGCAGGGGTCCTCTCTGGAACAGTTCAGGGGGCTTCATCTACAAGCCCTGTATCAAAACCTAGGTCAGTGGGGGTGCTGGGGTCACTGACCTGACAAAATCTACCTCAGTGCACCTGAACAGTCATGAAATGCCCTTCTGAAATACACCAAGGAACCTGTGGCCAAAACTCCTACTTTTACTACGATCCCAGTAGGCCCTGCCAGGAGCCAGCCCTATCCATCTTTCCTTCCTCTTTTTCTTTTTTTAAGTTAACTATCCCCTATTTTTATTATTATTTTTTAATTGTAAATGGACACACTTTTTTTTTTTTAAAATGTCCTGCTGAGGATGGAACCCCAGTGGCTCTCAAGTGCAAGGCAAGTCCTCCACCACTAAGCCACAACCCAGCCGCCACCTTTCCTTCTTGATGCAATTCTTACCTGGCCTAGGGCCTACCGGCAGAAATGAGCAGTGCACCCTCTCTCCAGTGCTAACAGCCGTGGGGAAGTGCAGCCCCCTCCCCAAGGCTAACAGGCGGTGCACACGGGAAGTGCACACCCCCCCTGCTAGCAGCCGGGTGGGCGGGAAAGTGCATCCCCCCTCTCCCAGGTGCTAACAGCCGGTGGGCGGGGAAGTGCCACTCAGAGGTGAGCTGATAGCAGCTCATTTCCTTTCCTTTGATAACCAATCCTTGGCCCTGGCCTCACCTTCAACAAGATGCCTCCCTCTCCTGGGGAAGATGCGGGCGGCTCAGGACGTGACCCAGAGCATGAGCGAGGGCGGCGGGCAGTGCTGGTCACTCGGCCACCGCCCCCGAGGACGCCCCCGCGCCCCTGCAGCGCTGGGAGCTAAGCCTACAGGGTAAGACGACAGCCCGGGGACCCTAGTTAAGAGCACCTTGAGGTGGTGTCTACCGTTCTTAAAGGGCCGTGTACGGACCTTAACGGAATAATGTAACAACGCAAGTAGCAAGTAACGCACAGTAACGTGACGTTCCTACCCTCAGGGCTGCCACGGGCCCCTCAAGGACGTGGCAGGCTTGAGGCCACCATCTGCAGCCCTTCAAGGCCAGGCCTCACGCCTTCCAACCCAGGAGTCGCAGCCACAGTCTGCTCAACCCGCACGACCCACCGATCCCCAAGGCGAAGGCGCAGGCGCACTGAGCCTCAGGCGCCTCAGTCCGGCGCAGGTCCTCGCCGCGCAGGCGCACTGAGCCGCAGGCGGCCTGGAGGCTGGCCGGAGCCCCGGGCCGCGCACTCCCGGCCCCGCCCCTCCCGCCCACTTCCGGCGCCGCGGCCTTCCGGGCAGAGACCGCAGGGCTGGCGTCGGAGTAGGCTCGCGTCCGAGCTGCTGACGGGCCGACCGACCGACCATGGCGCCAGGCGGGACTCGCGGGCCGACGCCGCGCTGGGCACTGCCCCTCGCCGGCGCCGCGCTGGTCCTGCTGCTCATCCCGGCGGCCGCCGCACAGGAGCCGCTCGGAGCCGGTGAGACCTGGGGTCGGGCGGGGGGTCGCGGGCGGGGCGCCGCTCTGCGTGGCCGGGCCCAAGCGGCTCTCGGTGGGGCCGCAGCGGCTGTGGCGCTCGGGTTCACCCCGCCCCCGGGGGTCGCGGACAGCGGCGGACGCTGGCGGGCCCTTACTCCCCAAAGGCGCGGAGGAGAGGCTTGGTCGGCTCCGGGCCCGTGGCCTCTGCCTGGAAGTTGGCGGTGCGGGGTCTTCGTGCGGTAGACGTGCGGTGGGCACTCTGCGTTCGTGGGTCCCACCCGCGCCAGCTGCGGGGCCCCAGTGGTGACCCACAGAGTTCCTCCAGACACTGGCCAAGAAACAGGCGGGCGCGGGGTGCAGGGGTTGTGGAGGCGGAAAGTGCGCACTCGCTCGCAGAACCCAGCAGCATTTCTAGAGGGTGGCTTCCTGGAGGGCAGGGCCGAGCAGAGCTTGGCCTCAGGGCCTGGCAGGCTCCCTCCAGGCTCTAAGCTGGAGGGTCTCGTTGGACCTGTTTTAGAAATGGTGCTCACTTGTGTATGAGTAAGGAAGCCTCGGTGTCACCTTCGCCTGATTCCTGACTTTTGCAATTAGGGTTGACCTGGCCCCGTTCGAGGGGCTATTGTTTTTTTCAACTCGTGTCAGATCAGCCTCTGTCAGTTCTCTTGACTCTAAAGCACCTTTTCTCTCTGTGACCTTTTTGAGTGTTATCCATTGCGTAGTGTTTGTTTCTAATGCATTTCTAATGCGTTAGTGACTTCAGTTAGGTGTCTTTTCAGTGTGTTGCTGAAGACACCAACTAACACTGTACAGGCTTGGGGTCTCAGTTGAGTTGTGAGCACAAGTGTACAGTGAATGCTCTTCACCAGACAGTGGGCATCTGGGAGAGTCATGGAGGCCTAAGACAGGGCTGTGTGTGCTTTGTTGCCGGAGTGGGAGTGAGGAAGGCAACCTGAGGAGCTGGGTGTGGCTACTCTGTTTTTCCTGCCCTGGACTTCTCAAGGGCAACTTGGGAATTCACCCAGTAGTGCAGCTTCAGTGTGTCAACCAAGAAACTTCCTTCTCCAGGTGGTGGCTGCCCTCCTTGGTGGGCAGACTGTTTTCTTATTGGGGATATCTTGAAAGGGACATTAGTTTCATGCCTGTGTAGCTGTTCTTCACCTAGGTGCCCTCCGGGTCTGCATTCACCTTGTCCCTGGAGAGGAGCACTACTTTTCTACAGAACATGGGCTTGGTATGAGATTGTTACTGTTTATTGTTCAGTGGGAATATGACTACTAGTGTTTAAAACATTGTCTTTACAAGGGTACTTCACGGTGTCATGCCATCCAACACCCCCACTTTTTAATACCTTTTAAATACTTCTCTGTGTGATTTGGTGGAGGGTAGACATATTAGTAACTATATTGAAGATCTTTAGAGCAATATTCATGAAATTAAAAGAGACCTTGATAGGGTTTTGGATCCCATATTAATTGTTTATAGAATCCAAGAACTTCATCTAGGGAAGACAGTCCCTATTAGGACTTCAGCTTCAGCCTTCAACAGGCATTCTAAGGAACAGTGGCTGTTGTCAAGAGTGGTGTGTCCTTATAGTGGGACTAGGCGTGGAGGTGCATCTTGCCCACCCTGAGAAACATGGGTTAAGGCGCAAGATGCCGTGGTGGCATGCTCACGTGGTTTTGATGACACTATCACATCTCACCTCATTGCCTACTGAAGTGGTGGCTGCCCTCTTTCTTCACCTGAAATTGACAATGCAGGTGTCCTCTGCACCTGTCACTGTGCAGAGTGGGCACACAGCTGTGGTGGGGTGTGTGTGACAGGTGCTGCATGATAAAGAATATTTTCTCTTGTTTCCTTGGTTTTTGTTTGTTTGTTTTTTTGTACCTGGGGTTGAACTCAGGGACACTTGACCACTGAGCCACATCCCCAGTCCTACTTTTGTATTTTATTTAGAGACAGGGTCTCACTGATCTGCCTAGTGCCTCGCCATTGCTGAGGCTGGCTTTGAACTTGAGATTCTCTGGTCTCAGCCTCGTGAGCCACTGGATTACAGACGTGTGGTGCCTACTGTTTCCTTGGTTTTAAAAAGTATATCTCATGTGCTAGCATGTCCTTTTGTTCATAATGAATTAATTGACCTACCTGAAACTTTAGAAAAGCGCTAAAAATGAGTTGTAATGATTTAGTATATTCTGACAGAACTTTTTTTTGGTCTTTATTTAATTTCCAAAGTGAATGAGTCTGAAAATTCTTGAAAAATTAATCAGTAGACTCTAAGTGAAGCTTCAGAGTCACAGGAGTCAGACATTCACATTCGGTATTACACTTAGGAAATCCACAGGCATGTTTTCTTATTTCCAGCACTTGTTTTTCTGTATCCCATGATGAGTAAGGATGGTCTGTGGCTTCTGAAAAATGCACACTGCCTTTCTCATGAGCAATAACAGTGCTTATTGTATTTCCTTCCTTACTATTCGAGATGGTGAGGTGTGATGTCATCAGGAGAATGGAGTAACCTTTCCCATTTTGGAATTCATCTTAACAAGGACTGCCTGACGGTGAAGACCTCCCTGTTCTTGGTGTGCAGAGGAGGAGGGTGGGAAGAGCCGCTGGGCAGTTCTTCCTCTTCCTCTGCATCTACTCCTTGACTCAGACTGGCCCGTAACCCAGAGTGTATCTTGGAGCTTGGTTCTTTCAGTTTACACAAGACATTTATCAGAATGAAGATCCTGTGAAAGGAGGTCCCTGTATCATCATCACTGTCCCCCGGGCCACTTGACTGATGAGGAGGAAGGTGTTCTTGCTTGTAGACCTGTGAACAGAAGTGGAGAGTGGGCATGGTAGGCAGGCCCCGTGCTCCCTCTGGGGCCGTGAGGAAGCTCCTGAGCTCAGGAAAGCCCAAGAATCCCAGTGCTGGGTTGCTTGGTCATCTGTCTCTGTCTCCTTATTAGTGTCTTAACGTTAAAATACTTATATTTTATTTCTTTAAGAGCGTTTATTGCAGATTGACAAATTGCTTATTATTATTTAGCCAACCCAGAGAATAAGCTGCTGAGGTGGCCCTTTACCCCTGGGTGGAATTTCTCCCGAGAACAAGAACACTCTTTTGCACAAGTGGATATAATTAGCACAGTCTGGACATTTGGCACTGATACTTGCATATTATATTTGGAACATTGATATTATAATATTTTCAATACTTGATTTAACATGTAGTCCATACATAGATTTTACCAGTTACCCTGATATGTCTGTTCCCCACTCCTGAAACCAGTATGTCACACTGCCTGGTTTTGAGTCAGTCACTGATCTGGAACAGCCCTCCAGCTGTCTGTTGTGGAAGCCAGTCAGGATTGTCAGTAGGTTCACCGAGGCCCTCACTGCCCAGCGTCGGGGAGCTCAGCCATCTCTTTGCTCCATAGCTGTGTTTTCCCATCTCTTGGAGCAAGACACTGGCGACTTTTAAAAATGGGTGGTCAGTTTTCTTTACCTCCTGGGACTGAATAAAATCTTCTGTTCCTAGTATTTAAAGTGATTTACAGAAAATACCAACATAGATCAACAGTACATAGCAGGAGACTGAGAATTACACCATTCAGTGACAGTCACTGTGGAATGGTAGGGGTCAAAATGTGCTTTTCTTTCAGATGAAGTAGATTTCATTTAGAGAAGTAAAACGTAGAGAAACTGGACTGTTAACTAGAAGGACTCCAGTGGGCCTGTTAGTTCAGGTCTTCCCTAGAGAGGGAGGGCAGGGAAGAATTGAGTAGTTCCTGTTCTCGTCCTTCCACTTAGGTTTGGTCTGCACATTTGCCAGTCCACCTGTCCAGGTCCAGCTGCAGCCTCCCATAGTGCACCTGGAGTCACTGGTAGACACCTCCTGTACTGTCACACCTGTCATTATCCGAGGTTGTCTTGTTTTTCAAGATGAATTTCTCCTTTGGTGAAGTGCAGGAAAGTTGAACGTGCCTTTGGACGAGTCCCCCACATAACCCTGACCCCTGCCAGAAGCAACCATCAGTCCAGAGTGCTCTGCCTCTCCCACCCAGGGCTGCACTCGCAGCCTTTCCCTTGCTGAGGGCCGAGGAGTCCCACGTGTGGAGCTGTGGAGCTGTGGGGCGTGGGTTTGAGGTGCGCCTTCTCTCAGTCCATGAGTGTTCTTCCGTCGTCTGTTTTCTGTCTTTTGTGACTAGATAAGTGTTCCACTGTGGATGTTCTGGCCTGCCTGTCCATCCTCCTAGAATGGACCTCTGGGCTCTTTCCAGTGTGGCATTGTTAACTTGTACTGTGGCAGTGAGCGTCCCTGCTGGGGTCTCCTGTGACGTGTGTCCGTTTCTCTGGGCGAAGTGCCTGAGTGGGATTGGCAAGTCATAAAGGGTGCCTGTTTGCTTTTTGAGCACCTCCAGGCCGGTTTTGAAAACGGCGGCATCAGCCAGGCTCTGTTGCTGTTGTCTTTGTCACCACTTGCAGGGCAGTCTCTAGCCGTTCTGTGGGTGTGCAGGTGCTTGTCCTCGGGGCCTTAATTCTCATTTCTCTGGCGACCAGCAACATTGAGCATGAGCTCTTTGCACTGTGTGTTGCAAGGCGTGGTGGGGAGAAGCAGTTGGCAGTTGACCAATAGCTTGTGGGGAATTTTTGGTGTGGACCCTAGTCTTCACTTCTGACTAACTCGTGTTCCAAAGCTGGTAGCCACTTGGAGTTTGATCTTTTCCTGCAGCTAGTGGGCAGAGTCCCAGGTGTTCCTCGTGACTGGAACAGGCTGATAGGCCATTGCTTCTCCCTTGGGATTGGGGAGAACAACCCTGTCCAGGGGAGGCTGGCCACAGGCTTATGAGATTTTTAGGTAAACGTGATCGCTGCTTGTTGCTGTGACACATACCTGAGATGAAGAGCATGAGGAAAGATTCAGTTAGGCTCACAGTTTCAAAGGTTTTAGGTAGGAGTTCAGGGACACCGAGATGGCAGAGGCAGGCACAAGAAAGATGCTGCTGGGGGAAAGACAGGGAGATGAGCATCATGTCCCTGTTTTAGATAAGTTCCGTTACCATAACAATTCCCACCATGACATCTGCCACCGGTCAGTGTTTTTAAATGACCAATGGGGGTAAACTGGGCAGTATTCTAATTAGGTTTTCCAAAGTCACCAAGGGGGGAAATTGGGCAATATTTTACTTAAGTATCTAAGTAATCAGTGGGGCAAATGGGGTGAGGTCCTCAGTCAGGTCTGCTCAGGGAAGAGAAGCCGCACAGCTCAGCCTGGAAGGCCTAATTCCAGACCTTGGGCCTTGACCCCTGCTCTGCCCACTCTGCTCTTCTTAGGGAGCGCCACTTCCACCTCTACTTGCAGTAAATGTTCTGTACTCTGCCTGTTACTTGTGTGGGCCTTGTTAGTTCCTTGTTAGGGACACCAGGGACCTGGGCTGCACCTGGCCATCCTGACGAGAGCGGTGGGCTGGCTCCATGTGTTGGGCCTGAGGTAGAGCAGAACGTCCTGGCACAAGGGTGGGAGGAGGAGGGCTGTCAGCTCGTGGCAGCCAGGGACAGTGTAGTCCCCAAGGGCCCACTCCTTTCAACTAGGCCCCCACCTCCAGTGGCCAATTCCCATGATCAGTTCCCACATGAACTGACCCACTGATGTGGGCGAGCTCATGATCTCGTCATTTCCTAAATGTCCCACCTCTGGACGTTGCTGTGTCCAGGACCAAGCCTTCAACACACGAGCCTCTGGGTGAGGGGATCCAGACCCTAACGGTAAGTCTGCACACTTGGCTGCTGTGGGCAGTGTTGCTGGCATTGCCGTGCCTCCTGGTTCCCTGGAGGGGTGCTGAGACCTGCTGCTCAGGTCACATTGATGGTGGTGCGCAGCCCCACGGCTCACCTTCTCCAGAGGCCAGCAGCAGAGCGCAGCTTTTGTGTTTGGAACCTTTCTTCCCTGAAGATCCTCGCTTCTGCTCTCCCAGGTCCCCTGCTGGCAGCAGGAGTTGATGTTTTTCCTGCGTACCTAAAGCAGGCTGGTGCCGGGAGGGCCCTGGAACTCCTTCAGAGGTCTGCCCCGCCTGTGAGCTGTCTTTCGTCGTGACCCTCACGATGCCTGTCTTTCCCCACAGGTTGTTCTCAGTACACAAACAGATCCTGTGAGGAGTGCCTGAAGAATGTCTCTGTAAGTAGTGCAGATGAGGTCGCTGACCAGAAAGGGACCGGCTTCCTCTATCCCAGGAGACACGTGGGTGTAGAGAGATTGTAGGGTGTTCGTGGTGACGGCCATTACAGACACTGTCGGGCTCTCCTGGGCACACTGCACCTCCTTACCTTTCGCCACACAGGCAGCGAGGGCGACTGTACTCTTGCAGCAGGTGTTAGCGAGGAGGAAGTGTGCAGGCAGGGTCTCCTGGAGCTCGTTGGCAAGCTCAGGAGTGCTGGTGCTTGGTGGCCAGTGCTGAGACAGAGTCCCTGGGCTGAGCATCTGCTGTACAGCCACTTCCTGGCCAGGCCTTCCCTCTAGGGCCGTCAGCCCTGAGAGTCTGTTGGGGACGGTGACTTCATCTCACTGAGGGGCTGGGCCTCCACAGCAGGCCCAAGGCTCTGTTGCCCACTTGTGCTCAGTGCTGTGGCAACCACCCCCCTCATAGGGCCCCATCAGGAGGACCTTGGGCCACTGTCTGCGACTGTACCATGCCTTCCCTCCACAGTCAGGGCCTGTGGGGTGCGTCAGTTCCTCTTACAGGAGGGAGAGGGTGCTTAGGGAGAGGCACCTGCCAGGTCATTGAAAGACTTGGGGCCAGCCTGTCCACTGAAAAGACAGCCAGCATGTTTGGATTTTGTCCCCAACCTTTTAAAATCCCTATGTGCCCTTCAGTAAGAGGGTGGTCATTCTGGAGCAAGATTGCCCAAGCCTCTGCTTTATGAGGTGGGTCAGAGACCCAATTGTCTCCCTGTAGATGGGTCATTCTAGGCTTGTTGGAAATGGGTACTCCATCTGGGAGAAGTAGGAGCCAGCTGTGGGGATACCCCAACATAGATCCTGAGAAGATGCACGAACGTCGGCTTGGTTCGGGGCCTTTGGCCTTTCTGCCACGGTGGCCTGCCCTCAGCCACCTCTCAGCAGCTCTGGCCGGCCAAGGGGCTCTCAGTTGACCCTGTGTAGTCCAGAGCCCTGTAGTAGCTTGAGAGAAGGCTAGCAGTGGGGACCAAAAGCAGCCTTCTGTGGCCTCTTTCTGAGGTCCAGGGAGTCCTCCTCCCCCATCTCCAGGAGGTGTCACGGGTTTTCAGGACTAGAGAGCCTGTTTCTTCCCCAGCCGTGGGAAGCAGCAGGAACTGAGTGGCAGATGATTTCCACTGCGTGGTATGTTTTTAAAGAACAACTCTCACCCACATGACAGTGGTGTGGTTTGTGATGTGTCTTGTCACTTAGTGGGACTGAAAATCAGGATTAACTGCCCCTGTAGCCTATCTTTCTTTCTTTCTTTTTTTTTTTTATTATTATTTTTTAATCACCAATGGACCTTTAATTAATTTATTTACATGTTGCTGAGAATCAAGCCCAGTGCCTCATACATGCTGGGCAAGCGCTCCACCACTCAGCCCAGCCCAGCCCAGCCCTGGGCAGCCTGTCTTGACAGCACTGTTTTGTGGCTGTTTGTTTTCTGACTCTGGCTTTCCTATTGGAAGTCATTTCAGCCATAAAAATAGCTTGTCGCCAGACCTGGCCTTGTAGTCTAGAGCTGGTTTGTGCTGTATTGCCCTGGGTAGGTGTGGTGACAACAGAGACCCAGCCAGGTCACATAGGTGGGGCCAGTCCTGGAGAGCTGAGTCCTGACCCCACACTAGCCACAGGGCAAACCAGAAAGGCCAGGTACAGAGGGCTAGCCCTAGACCCTCTGGGCCTCTGCTGGAGTGCACTCAGGCTTCTGGAGGCCACAAGAGGACCAAGTAGGATTTGAAAATGGAAGACTAGCCAAAAGTGGTTGACCTCTGGAGTGGAAGATGTTCCAGATGGCAGGTGCACAGGGTCTGACTGTTGTTACCACGTTGTGCTCTGAATTGTGTGGAAACAAGACATTAAGGCATTGCTGTGCTCTTGCCCTGGGGAAGGGAGCCCAGGGTACACTTTAGTATTTTTGTAATAGATGTTTACCCTAACTTAAGATCAAAATATTGTGATTGTTTTTAGTCCTGTTAAAAATTCCGGGGCCGGGATGTGGCTCAATGGTAGAGCGCTTGCCTAGCATGTGTGAGGCCCTGGGTTCCATCTTCAACACCACATGTAAATAAAATAAAGGTCTGTTGACAACTAAAAAAATATTTTTCAAAAATAGAAGAATGGCTCAAGTGGTAGCGCGCTCGCCTACCATGCGTGAGGCACTGGGTTCAATTCTCAGCACCACATAGAAACAAAATAAAGATATTGTGTTCACCTAATACTAAAAAATAAATATTATTTAAAAAACCAGGAGAAGAGTTCTGTAATGCTGTTAGCATCAGGGTTTGCAGTGCAGGTGTGCCCCAGCGTAGGCTGGCAAGCTCGGTGCTGCTGGGGCTGCGGCTTTTCAGCCCCGTCCCGTGTGTTAGCTGCCCTGGCATCCCGCTCTGGGAGCATGCCCAGACTGTTGTGCACACCTGTGGCGTCTGGTGGGCCTTGTCCTGCCCTGCTCTTGACACCACTGCAGGTGTGAGGGTGCCATCTCACACAGCTGCACCTCACCATGACCCTGTGGGGCTCAGCATCGACCGTGAGGTTCCCATAGGTCTTCAGCTCAGGCAGTTGCCTCTGAGCCCTGGCCACGTTGTCTTCCAAGCTGTAGTGATGCAGTGCCACTGTAAGGAGGGACCTCTCAGTGATTGTTGAGGTCCCCAGTTCCTTCACCAGGCACCTCAGGAATGCCCACTGGGGGCCAGGCTGCATCCCGGGCCTGTTTGCACAGATGCCTGTGCTGGTGCAGCGTGGCAGCAGGCATGTGAGCAGGGCAGGCTAGCGGCACCAAAGGGCGGACAGTGGGGTGGGGAATGTGCTCCCTGGACAACAGCCAGCCTATGTAGCCAAGTCCAGTTAAGTTGTGCAGGCTGTCTGAGGTACAAGGGTTGTTGACAGGACTCCTAGCCATTGTGTGGGGCATTGACTGAAGGGCAGCAAGGATGAGAAACACGAGTTGGGGGCCAAGGCCATTGTGGTCATCTGGGGAGAGGTACTGCTGCCCATGGCGGTGGAGGTGGTGAGAAGCCCCAGGTCCTGGCAGGCTGGCTCTGGGTTTCGCATTGTGTTCTCGTTTGGTCTTTTCCAGTGTCTGTGGTGCAACGCTAATAACGCCTGCTTGGAATACCCCGTCAGAAAAATACTGCCCCCTGCCTCTCTCTGCAAGCTGAGCTCTGCACGCTGGGGCGTTTGCTGGGGTGAGTTGTTTTCATTTATTTCTTGCAAAATGGTGCTGTTTTGAAAATTCTAACACATCTCAGGTAGTGTAACATGCTGCCGTAACTCTGTGACACTCCTAGAGAGAAAGAAGTCAGGGAGCCAGTGGTCATCTGGTGTCAGGTCAAGCGGCCAGGTCCTGGGAGTTTGAAGGAATCCTTCAGTATAGTTGGCCTCAGCATCTGTAGTCACACAGGTTCTGAGGGAGATGGCCTTGTAGTGGCAAGAGGGAGGGTTCCCTGATTCCCAGATGAGCTTGGGTTGGCTTATCTGGTGACTTCTGAGGGCTGAGAGAGACCTGCAACCTGCTGCTGGGGACAAGCCCATACTGGGCCTGTCCCATGTGTGAGAAGGGGGTTGTGAGCTGGGGGTCCACATCATAGGAGCGTAGTGGTGGGAGTTTGGAGGGCCTCTCAGCATCTCCTGGTGCCAAGAGGGGTCAAGGCCTACCTGGGGGTGGGTGTTTATCCTTAAAAATAACTCTCTTGGCAAACTGCCACCTTCCAGACCTGCCAGGACGGCAGCCTAGGGAGACAGCTCTCTGTGGTATTTCTTGATGTCCTTGAACAAACTGAGGCCACGGTGCACCACCGCCCAGAGAGTCTGTTCTTAAAGCTGTCTTCAGTAAACTCTTCTAACTGGGTGATGGAAATATGTTTGTAAAAGCTGTGCAGCATGTTCTTTAATTGGCTCTGGTTTGAATTGAGTAGAATTGACTACTTTCAGTTTAAAAAGACCTTTAAGGAAAATTGAAGAAAATGGTAAAACTTGTTTTGGATTGGCTTGAACTAGCAAGTCACACCACTGAAACTCATTAGGCAGCCACATTGAACAAACCCTGGGGAATCGATAGTACTCAGATTTGAAGACCACCCCACATGGCCTGTGGCTTGGGCTGCTTCTCCAAGCTCCTTCCTTTTGGGTCTGGTGGTCACTGTCCCCTGAAAGAAGTTTGTTTTTCTGGGGAGTGGTTGTAATCTTCTTGACGTTGATTTAAATGATAAACAGAGCTTCCTCAGGGTGCCTAACCTGTTTTTACAGTTCCACTATGTTAGGAGTCCAGGCTGTCCTGGGACAGGGCCAATAGACAGCTTGGTGGGTTTTTTCTTTTCTTTTTAAATATTTTTTTCAGTTGTAGTTGGACGTAATACCTTTATTTTATTTATTTATTTTTATGTGGTGCTGAGGATCGAGCATTCTACCACTGAGCCACAACCCCAGCCCGATTCTTTTTCTTCTTGCTGGTTTTTGTTAATCTTCGTTAGTTTGTGAACATCTTTCCAATCTCAAGTAAAAGAAGCTGTTGTGTCCCTTTGATTCATTGTGGTTAACCTAGAAATTGTAAGTCACACATAGATGTCTAAGGAACGCGGTGCCAGGAGCCACAGTCCAGGACTGCCCCGGCGGCTGAGGGGAGGGAGGTTCAGTGGTAGGTCCCATACCTGAAGCAGTCCTAACTCCAGCTGTTGGATTTCCAGTGAACTTCCAGGCGTTGATCGTCGCCATGTCAGTGTTGGGGGGCATCATCCTCCTGGGCATCACTGTTTGCTGCTGCTGCTGCTGCCGCCGGCGGAAGAGGAGTCAGAAACCAGATAAGGACGACGAGCGCGCCATGAGAGAGCAGGAAGAAAGGAGGGTCCGGCAGGAGGAGAGGTGAGGTCTCAGCAGGGGAGTTTACTTTAGGGAACTCAGATCTGGAAACATTTATGAGTCATGAATTTTGTTTTTTAAAAAGGAGAATGTGCTCAGTGTCCACAGGGTGGTCCTAGGCTATGTAAAGAGTGAGAAACTGGCAGGCATCTCGCGGAATGGCTCTAGCCGTGGCCCAGGCCTTCGTCTGTGGGTTTTCTCTTGGTGGCAGGCAGCTGGTGGTGCAGCCTGGCTTGACGTGTGCTCCTGTGATGTAATGACTGCCCTTGAGCCTGCAGAGGTGTCTGGGCTTCTGAGCCCTCTAGTCCCTGCCCCATCTACTCAGCTGAGCAAGCGGAGGCTCCGGCACGGATGGGGTCACCCTGACACTGTGCAGCACAGCACTCTGCTGGCCTGTGCAGGGGCCTCAAGCCCTGGTAGCTGGAGGGGCTCTTGTCCCCTCAGACTGGCAGCTGGTGTCCTCCTGAGGTTTCCACCCTCTGGGCCACTTGATGCATGTCTGCAATTGCGTTTTCCTAACCACCCTCAGAACCTGGCGGGGTTGGTGCATTTTCATTGTACAAAAGGAGATTGTAAAAGATCACAGTGTTGGGCATTTGAGGAGGTGTACTGATGAGGAGACTGGATGCTGAGCAGCCTTGGGGACTGCTCTGCCACCCTGTGCTGCCCTAGTGGGCCCGTCTGATGGCTCAGCTCACCCAGCTGGGTTTCCTGGGAAGCGTGTATTTTTTGAGACAGTGTTGTGCATTGTGGTTTGATGCTACCTGATGTTTTTTATGCTTTTTAGGAGAGCTGAGATGAAGTCAAGACATGACGAAATCAGAAAAAAATATGGTAAGGCTCCATTGCACCTCCTTTGGGCTGTCCTGGAATGGGTACCATGTCTTGTGCCGCAGCTACTCTCTGTGGCTCTCCTACATGAGGACAGCAGCTGGTGTTACTCTAGGCTCAGTGCTTAATGCGTGATGGCACGAGTGTCTTCAGAGGAGAGACCCCCGCAGGCGTTTATCTCGGCCAGACTTCTTTTTCTTGGGTACTTGTTTGTTCCTGAAGTATGGTAACTTCCAGAAAGGCCATCAGTAGCTGGTGTATCCTCCTCTTTGCCTTCAAGTGGGTGCACCTGTGCCACAGTGAGGCTGGTTCCCTGTCCAGCTCACAAGCCCTTCACCCTGGCCTGCCTCCTCCTGTGGGCTGAGTGCAGCAGACAGCCCTCCTTTCTCAGACACTGGCCTGAGCTGCAGCTGGTCTGTCAGTGCCTCTACTATTCCCCCTGGACGCTTGGTCTTGCTGCCTTGTTTTGGGGTGGCTTTGAAGGGGTCAGAGTGAGGTGTGTGTGTCTCATGTAAACCTTTCATCCTGGTGGAAGGGTCTGGAAACCCAGCACATTAACTTGTCCTCCAGTCACATGTTGCTGGGAGCATTGGACCCTGCTGTCTTCTGTGCTCCTGTGCTTCTGAGCTGATGTGGAAGCCACCTAGTTCCAGAATTTTCTGTGCTGGGTTTGGTGGTTGCATGGTGGTGGGCATATGAGCAACTGCCTCCCTTGCTGTCCAGGAACCCAGGCCTCTGGGTCCCTGTCCTTTCCTTCACTGAGGCCCTGTGCCGTCCTGGAGAACTGTGTTAAGGGTGAAATCCTATGAGGAGAATTTCTTTTTTTTTTTTGGTGCTGGGGATTGAACTCAGGGCACTCGCCCACTGAACCACATCCGCAGCCCTATTTTGTATTTTATTTAGAGACAGGGTCTCACTGAGTTGCTTAGCACCTTGCTTTTGCTGAGGCTGGCTTTGAACTCAGGATCCTCCTGTCTCAGCCCCCTGAGCTGCTGGGATTATAGGCATGCACCACCGTACCTGTCACCTGAAGAGAATTTCAGAATCTTTTCCCAATGAATGCAATTTGAGTCCTCTAAGTAAATGCGATATTTTGAGATGTTAGCCGTTGGGATCGTTATTATCACTCCTTGGTTTCTGTGGTTGGGGGAGAACAGAACCCAGTAGCACTAGTAGACAGTGTGGTGCTTCCAGGTGTGAGCTGTTAAAATATTAAATGTGTGTGGGTTTAGTTCCCTGTGGTGGGGCCACAGGGGCCCCATTGCTGCTGGTGTTGGTGCTGTGCACAGTGATTAGCTCTGTCAGCTGGCCAGGAGGTCTCTGTCCTAACTGGTCAGACCGCTTCCCAGTCACACTGTGCACAAGAAGCCAAGACTGGGTTGCAAAGGCCAGGACTGACCCTGCTGGCTTGGCGTGTGGCCTCAGGCTAGAGACGGCCCTGCTTTCCCGAGGCCCAGGACTCCTCTCCTTCCAGGGGGATGCGCAGCAGCTGGTGGAGCTCCTGCCCTCGCCTGCTCCAGGCTGCTGCACTGGCCCCTGCTCTCTCCTGGCCAGCCTGCCATCCCCACTGCCCCTGCCGCAGGGCCAGCCTGTTTCTAGCCCTCACCTGGCCCTCTGCACCCCCTGGCTCCAAGTGTGGGTGGCGACTGGACTTCCTGGTGCGACTCCCATGTAGAGCAGGACATCAAGCATCCATACCACCCCTTGGCTGGACGCAGCTTACTTTGAAGAGTCCAGAGGAGCTTTTTGACACTGATGAGTGTAAATATGAATAGAAGACTAGGTGAACATGCGTGCTCACGCGTGCACACAGAGCACAGTGTTGGTCACTGCCACGCGCCCTTGGACTTTGGCTTTGCCTGACTTCTGTGTGGGCAGGCCAGTGCATGGCTGTGGGTGGGTCGTACTGCTTGCCTGTTCCTGCCATGGTGGTGCTGGACTTGCCCTCTCCTTGGGCCTCTGCTTTTTTTGCTCACTTATAATAGAGCCCATTGAGTGGCCTGCACTTTGAACAGCCTTGGCTGCGTGGAGTAAGTCCCCGGAGGTCCTGGTAGGGGAAGACACTTGGGTTGACTTGGTCAGCTAACAGGGTCCTTGGGCCTCTCGTGGTTTTGGAAGGCATTTAACTTGTTATCACAAAATGGCTTGCCTCGTGTTTTGCCTCCAAACCGGCATGAGAGCCAGGAGCTCTTCTCTCACTAAGGCTTTGGCATGGCTGCTCCTGTGTGCATTCAGTGTCTGGGCTATGGGCCAGAACTGACTGCAGCCTCCTCCCCTGAGGTCTGCACAAACAGTCCTGACCGGGCGCACCCTCCTGCTGCCCTGCCCGCGTGTTCCCTGCCCCTGCTTCCCCGCCCCCAGCAGACCTGCAGTAAGTAGGTTTGTTGCGCTGGCTCCCGGTCATTTTGTCACACAGAGTGTGTGTGTGTGTTTCTGCAAGGTGAAGAGGAAACGTCGGGTTTGGGGTCAGTACCACGGACTGACTTTTGTGCATACATTCTCTTTTTATCCCAGTTATGTTGTAATGCTCAAGTCAACTTGGTGGTCGGCTTCCTTTTGTAACTTTGATTCTAAAGTTTAATAGCAATTATAGGAAATTCAGAGTGAGGAGGTTGGTTTGGTTTTTCTGTATAATTCTAGGAGCCAGTACCAAAGGAAGCATTTGCTTTCTCTTTGTGCTTTCTCTTCAGCAAGTCAGTCTTCACTTGTTAGGATCTGTCACCATTATTGTTTCTGGTAAGTTTTCAGTTTCAGAGTCCACTGTGGTTTGACTTCAGGAAGGGTCCGGCAGCTTTGGCCTGCGGAGAACCCGTTCCTCGGCCTCAGTACATGTTCATGTGAAACTCAGCCAGCCAACATTGCTTTCAGGCGTTCTGTTTCCAGTTGAGTGAGTGCATTTCTAATTCAAGTCTGTTTTCTTTCAGGTTTGTTTAAAGAACAAAACCCATATGAGAAGTTTTAGGACGACTGCGTATGTGTCCGAAAGATTAGGCGGTCCTGGGCCCTCCTGCAGGCTCATGCTGCCCAGCACAGGTCAGGAGCCCGCTGCACCCTGGGCTAGCCTCCAGCAGAGTCCTGGAAGCTGCCCTGAGAGGACAATCCTGCTCTTGCCCTGTCGGCTGTGGCCTTCTGTCCCTCCTGCCTCTGTTCTGTATTTAGCTGCTCGAGACATTAATCTCGCTGGGCCCTTGCTGTTTTCCGTTCACTGTCGTCTGCCTGTCTTGGTCTACAAGCTGATGACCAGGTGAGCAGTCCACAGTCCGATGTGCCAGCAGTTCTGCTGCAGCAGCAGAGGTCCCGAGGGCCTCTCTCCACCAGCAAGCTTCACACAGTGATGGGGACAGTCACCTTCACTGTGTCATGGGCGAACTGAGCAAGCCATTCTCATTTCCCAAAAAAAAAATCCATGGGTGGCACTTCTGTGTGCCCATCTCTTTGAACCTTGGTGTGTCTTAATGCAGGTAGCTTTTTGTAGAAAATAGTGTCCCATACACAGTTTGATAAGGATCTCTTTCCTCACTGCAACTACGTCGAATAGCACTAAAGAATAGTTAAAATCACCTTAATTAAAAATAATAATAATTCTTGGATGCCATCACCAAAATATTCCCACCCCCAGATATTCTTGTAAAAGATCAGACCCTTATGAGATGGTAGTTTTAAATTTACATCTATTAAAGACCCGAGAGTCTTTCCCCATGGAAACACAAATTGCCCTCGGGCTGGAGTGGGTGCTCTGGTGCCCACCTCACCTTCCCTCCAGCTCCACCAGCACCTGGGCCGTCATACGTCCTTGGGAATATTCTCGTAAGCCTTGGACTTCTGCCTGCCTGTCAGGCTATCTGAGAGGTGGTCATTTTGGGTCATGGGCCTGGCACGTTTACCCCAAGAAGGGAGAAGGTCATCCATAGGCCAGCCCCTCTTCAAGGCCCAGTATGCAGGACACCGGTGTGTTGGGGCCTGCCGAAGGTCCTCCACACACTGCCACAGGTGGGCTGCCCGCAGCAGGCCACCTACTCCAGCTGCACTTCATCTTGGGCTGTGGGAGGGTTTCTGTCTGAGGCGGCGACTGTAAGTTCTCAGAGAAGCTCTAGGTGCCCCAGGCTGTGCATTTCTTTAAAATCAAGACACATGAGTAGTGAACAGAACGTTCTTGGTGGCACGGACAGCTAGATGCTTTTCCTAAAAGATACTAGACAATACTTCCAGTTGCCAGGTTGCTTTGAATTTAAAAAAAAAAAAATTCTCCCCGGGAACGTAGGTAGCCAGCAACAGTGGCAAGCAGCGTGTTCCGTCCTCACGCTCCTGATGATGCTGTGGGCGGCATCCGTGACTGTGGCCCTCGTGACGGGCAGGTCGCCCGGCAGTGGCTCTGCCAATTCTTACACTAAGGATGTGTTCCTTGACAAATGCTTCAGTCTTATTTTTCTGACTTCTTGGGCATTGGATAGTAATTTTTAAAGTATTATGAAACATTCCTAAGTATGTGATGGCAGCTGTCATAATAGGCTTTAATGAACTTTGTATTAACCTGATAGTATGTATGTAAAATCACAGTTTCTTTCATTGAGGTTGCTGCGTTAAAGTAGAGCAACCTGTTTTTAAATACAGTGTATTTGATTCTCACATCAGGTGACCTTAGGCTGGTCTTGGTTGAGCTTTTCTCTGAACTGAGGCTAAGGGAGCCGCACAACTGTGAGCTTGAGGAGACTGCCGTGTTCAGAGTGCCTTACTTTTAACCAGTTTCCAATAAAATGGTTCTGTGCCTGCTTTTGTTTACTAAACACAGTGTCCCTCTCTGGGTGGCGACTCCTCTGTGGCTGGGGGCAGGTGGATCTGTCAGGTGAGGCTGAGCTTCTGGGCTATCCTATGATGCCGTGAGCCGATCCAATGACACCATCACCCCCAGGGCTGGACCAGGCTATGTCCTGGAATTGCCCCACCTGCCAGCGGCTTTCCTTCTGCTTCTGTGCGGGGCACAGAGGAAGCCGTCTTCCTTTGCAGTCTTTGAAATGCCATGGTGACAGGCACCTGGTCTAGAGGGCCTAATTCTGGAGAGTGCCCGGAGACTGCCTCTGTAGGGCACTTTGGGGTGCAGCAGAGATGGAAGATATCCAGGTGACAGCAAATCTGCCCCTGCAGAGACAGCTGCTGAGGGCTGGGGATGTAGCTCAGCAAACTTGGTGAAGTGCAAGGCCCTGGTTCAACCCCCAGACCACCAGGAGTCTCTGAGCCCCAGTGTGCACAACCAGAAAGTTGTGGGTTCCCTGGCCACTAAGAGCTGGCTGCCCAGCGCCCAGCTGCAGTGCAGGACAGCCAGGGAAGGGGCTCAGAACAGGAATCCAGGGAGGTAGCTACATGACCTTGGGGAAGAAAGGAGCTTGCTGGGCAGAGTGCCACCCGGGCTGTTTGTGTGGGAGGCCTTGGGAAGCAGAAGTACCCGTGTCCCCGCCTTTGCAGGCAGGGCACTGAGGGATGGTGATCCCCAAATGTCCTTTGCATCCTGGTCCAGGGCCCTCATACCTGGTCACTCCTGGTGCCACAGGGCCCCCGGTTTCTGTGACACAAGCAGACTGCTCTGGGTAAATAATGTTGGCAACATTCACCAAAAGCTTTACCAAAGAAGGGCTGATGGGCGGGGCTGATGGGTGGGTGTCAGCCTTCCAGGGAGGTGGGTGAGCTCCTGGGTCTGGCTGCTGCACAGGGCCTTGGTGGCCTTGAGACGATGAGTCCTGGGCATGTTCCAGGAAGGTGGGACAGATCCGTTCACAGTTGACCTGGGCCCTCAGACTTGGTGATCATGTGGAAATGCGGAGCAGAGGTGACCTGCAGCCTCCGCAAACCTCACACCTCTGCTTGCAGAGCAGAGGCCCCTCACAGCCCTCAGCCCACACTCCACCAGATCACCGTGGTCACCGCTGAGCCTCACTGTCACACCCTGTGCTACAGGGTGGCACTGAAAAGACAAACCCCATTTTGCAGTGAAGAGTCAGCTGCACAGAATGCTGGTCTGGGTTCTATCCCAAGGAGCATTAGCGCAGGGAAGAGCAGGAGGGGCTCCCACTGAGCTCTGGTGGGGCCTGAGTCTGGCGCTCATCCCAGCTGTTCTCTTGCTCCCTCCCAGGGCTCAAGATGGGCACAGGTTGCAGCAGGGGAAAGGTGTCCCGCACACAGCCAGTTGGGAGGCTCTGAGCTGTGACTTGATGGGATTCTTTCACTGGAGGCACCTGGGTTCCAGGAGATGTTCAGCCAGGAAGAAGAACTTTCATAAACTAGGACTTAGGAGCAGTGTGCTGAGCTCCCAGGGCCCCGTGCTCTCTGCCCAGGTCTTCCTTTAAAGTCTTAGGGCATAGTCTGTCACAGGAACTGCCTTGGCCTGGCCCTCAACCGGGGCCCTTGCAGGTCTCAGAGGCACTGACCCCAGGTGCCTGCCCGCCAACCTCAGCACTGAGCTCAGTGCTCAGCCTTTCTCTGCATTTCATCCTGGCCCATGCTCTTGACTCCCACCCTCCAACCTTGGGGTACCCACCTTCCCCAAAGAAAGACCTCCAAGACATTGTCCTGGGTTCTGCTTCCCAGGAACCCCTGGAAGTCATCACTTATGGCCATCTGGGTCTAGGAATGTGATTAGCCAAGTTGCAGCAGGAGGTAGAGTTCCCTCATGACTAAGTTCATGTGTCACCTTAGTGGGTTCAGAGATGTCCTTGTACCTGATGAGGCACTGTTTGTGGGTGTCTCTGCGGTGTCCCCATGAGGTTAGCATTGGACGACCAAGTGAACCCAGGCAGAGAAGAGAGAATTTGCCTTCCCTCTGCAGGTTGGTTGAGCTGGGGCCTGGCCTTATGCATGATTGTGTAAGACGCCCTAATGACAGGTTTGCTGAAATATTTAAGAGTTTTGCATGTCATGCTGGGTATGGTGGCACACACCTGTCATCTCAGCTGCTTAGGATGCTGAGACAGGAGGATCATCAAGTTCAAGGCCAGCCTGGGCAACTTAGTAAGACCCTGTCTCAAAAAAAAAAAAAAAAAAAGGGATGGAATGTAGCTCAGTGGTAGAGTACCCCTGGGTTCAATCCCCAGTACTGCCCCCAAATCTTTTTATCTTTTTTTTCTGCCCCAAAAAAGATTAAAAAGTCAGGGCTGGGATGTGGCTCAGCAGTAGAGTACTCCCTTAGTACGGGCGGGACCAGGTTCTATCCTAGTGCCACATAAAAATAAAGGCATCATGTTGTGTCCATCTACACCAAAAGAAAATAAATATTTAAAAAAAGGATTAAAAAGTCGTTTTCATCTTTACTCATAAGTTTAATATAGGTTTTTGCTATGCTTGTGGGTTTGGGTTTAGGGTTAAGCTAGAATTGTAATTAACTCTGTGGTTTTCTGTATCATGAACGGTTTGATAAAAGACCTTGAAAAGACCAGGATGTAGTGTTTTTTTCGGGGGAGTTGGTATTTCAGTACTGCTTTGGTTTCTTTCACAATTCTTGACCTATTGTTGTCTAGGTTTTAAGTCTACCATTTAGTTAATGTTTTTCTCGAAAGTCGTCCATTTAATTTAGTCTTTCAAATGCATACAAATATTTGCCTAGTGCAGAATCTCTCATCAGTGGTTGTGTTGTTTCTCTGTATGGTCTTCCTGATCCCAGGTAACTTGTCCCTCTTCACAGGAGCAAGGAGTGAATCTGCTGGTTGAGTCCCCACTTTCCTTTTCATTACCTGGGGGGTCTGGGCAGCAAGGTACTCTTGGCCCTCCCACGCTGACCTACTGGGACTCAACCTGGGCCTCAGGGGACCTGGCGTCTTCTGCTTTCCTCTCATTTATTTGCTTGGTGTGAAGGAGCCCCAGCTGTCCTGCTGGTGCCGTGGCCTAGTGATGACCAGCACCACATGCCAGACACTTGCTGGGGTGGAGCCACTTGCTGACCAGAGCCACAGGGTGCCTGGCAGAGTAGGACAAGCTGTTGATCCAGAAAACATGTGTCCAAAGAAAATGGTAGCTGTTCTAAGCCGCCAAGTTTTGGGTAATTCATGATTCAGCAATAAACACTCGATACATCCCCCCCCCCCCAGTATACTAAAATCAATGGTATTTTTATATAGTAGCCAAAATAATGGAAAATGAAAATAGTATTTACAATAGCATTGAGAACATAAAATTCGTAGTAATGAATTTAATAAAGTATATGTAAGACGGGTACACTAAGAACTACATTACTGAGAGAACTTAAGAGCTAGATAAATATGCACATTATTCATGAATCAGATGACTCAATTTCTAAAAATTTAACAATATTTTTATTGTGTTAAAATACACATAAATTTACCATCTTGCCTTTTTTTTTTTTTTTTTTTTTTTTTGTACTAGGATTTGAACCCAGGGGCACTTAACCACTGAGCCACATCCTCAGCCCTTTTTAAAAAATATTTTTTTAGCTGTTGATAGGCCTTTATTTTATTATATGAGGTGCTGAGAATTGAACCCAGTGCCTGCCTCACACATGCCAAGCAAGTGTGCTGCTGCTCAGCCCCAGCCCATTTTTATATTTTATTTAGAGACAAGGTCTACCTGCATTGCTTAGGGCCTTGCTAAGTTGCTGAGGCTGGCTTTGAACTTGTGATCCTCCTAAGCCACTGGGATTATTGACCATTTTTAGGTAGACTTTTCAGGAACAAGTACGTTCATGTTGTACAACCAACACGACCATCCATCTCCAGAACTTTTTCATCTTGCAAAACCGAAACTCTGATCCCATAAAACAACTCCCCAGTCCTCCCTGCAGCTCTTTCAACTACTGCCCTGCTGAGCCTCTACAGACTTGGCTGCTCCAAGTATCTTGTATAGAAAGGGAATTGTACAATATTTCTTTGTGTGACGGCCTTATGAGAGTTTCCCTAATCTCTTGAGGGTACCACTTCTTTCTACATTACCATCTTCTTTTGAGTTTAGCTAATTTTTTGGTTAAAAAAATACTAAATTCATTCATCATTTCTTTTTCATATATTCTAGAGCTCTTTTCCTTATGTTACCATGGAGACTGAAATGCAACAGTGGTCCACTTTATGCTTTGAATGTAGCCCTTGCTGATCTTCCGCTGCAACTTATTTTAAAAATGGACCTGTTTCTGGGGCTGGGATGTGGCTCAGCGGTAGAGCACTCGCCTGGCACGGGCGGGACCCAGGTTCGATCCTCAGCACCACATTAAAAAAAAAAAAAAAAAAAGAGGCATTGTGTTGTGTCCATCTACACCTAAAAATAAATATTTTTTTTTTAAAAATGGACCTGTTTCTTTCTCTTCCTCTCTCCCTGATCCTCCTCAATCTTAGGGGGAACAGGGTCACCTTCTTTCCCATCCTAGGCAGAGTTATCTGTCCCTGAGCATGCACCCACCCTGGGAACGAAGTAAACAAGACTTTGGGGATGGCACCAGAAGATCTCAGAAATGACTGTCTCCCAAATTAACAAATCACAATTCAACAGAGAACCCTGGGATGTAGCATTTGAACCACCTCTCTAACAGCCCCCTGTTCCTGCAGAGGGGCAGAATCACAGCCTCTGGGGCAGCAGTCCCCTGTGTTTCCCCTTTGCTATCAAAGCAAGAAGCCTTTTTTCTCAAAATCATATCCTTGTTGCTAAAAGCTTGGTCCTTGTCCCCGAAGCCAATCCAATAACAAGGACATGCTTTTGAGAAAAAGGAAAAAATTAGTTTATTGCTTTTAGGAAGGATAGACAGGGGAAAGAAGATCAGGGAGAAGTTGAGGGAAAAAGATATCAGAGAAGATCA